AGATGTTAGTTACCCTGTCAGCATAACACCTTGCTTGTGGACATACAAGAGATCTGCTTTCCATGATCCTTGCAGTCTTAATTTATTTTAGGATAGTTTTCAAAAATTCTGCCTTGAAATGTCACGGTTGTAATTAAAAATAGATAATTATGCATGCATTATACAATACCCCTGTCCATGCAGCTGCCTACACATTTGACAAGAAAAAAACCAAGGACCAGTAACAGTTGTATCTGCTAGTGCAGCCTTTGATCTTTATTGCTTGCTTCTAGAGAAGCCGACCTTTCCTTTATCTTGATATTTGCAGCTCCTCAAATTATTTTTTGCTCACTAGAGTCAATAAGGCTATGGCAATAGAGTGTGTTTGTTTGCAGCGACCTTTACTGAGAGTACTCTGTAATTTTTCAGACTTACAGACTGGTGTGATATAGACAGCTATATATCTGTCAGCTCATCTCTGGAGATGGAGTGCCCAGCTGTAGAAATGTCTAACCAGGTTTCTTTCTTACAGAGTTCTGTTTTGAGAGCCATCCTGCCTCATCTATAAAATTGTGTTTGGACAGTTGATGAAGCTGGGGGTTGGCATTACAATGCAATGCTGAATATGGTTTCACATTCATGCTATTACAGCTATTCAACAAAGTCCAGCACATCCTTTCCTGAGGCACATGGGATGATCTGGGATCACAGAGCAGTCAGTTCTTTACCTTGCTTTATGCAATGCTTCTGGTTTTTATTGTATAATTACCTTGTATCAGCATAGGATCCTGCTTATTTTGTCTTGCATGTAGCTTCCACCGTTTTTTTCCATATCCTTTTATTCCTCTTGTATTGTACCAAGTATTTATTGGTGTGGTGCAAGTCTTGGACTGTCACCTTCACTGTTCTCTCCCCTAAGGAGTTGCCTAAACTATGGTGCTAAAAATAGCAAAGAATATAAAATGATTTCCATGAAGCTAAGCCTGTGAAAAGAGACTGCTCAAAAGACTGGCAAGTTGCTTTGTGAGAGGGTAACTTTATATTAAAAAAAATAATAGTAAAGATAAAAGAGCACTTACCAGTGGCAGCAAGTGCTTCTTAGAAATATTCAGCAAGAATTCAGAATGTATATTTTCAGGCATTCCTGATAAAATAAAAGATAATTTGAATAAACCAAAATATGGAACATTTTAATTCACATTCGGAAGTACTGATAAAACATATTCTATGAGAAGAGCAAGCACTACTGCACATATGTCTTTGATTTAACTTTTTCACCCCAATATTTTTATAGGCTTATATAAGAGGCTGATGAAGCATATACTACATTAAGGACTGGCATACATCCTTAAGCTACAATGACAAAAAAAGAACTTTAAAAAGCACAGAAAACTAAAATCATACTTTGAGAAAAACATAAAAAATCAGTGTGTCCCTCCCATCTGTTTGCAGAGCGGGGTACTATATTTTCATCTGGCAGAAACTGATCTAGATGTTTTTTTAAAAAAAATATTTCTCAATCACTATAAATGTGTGACCCTGAATATTGTGTTGCCTAAATCATTGTCACTGCTATTAACATCTTCTTTTTACTCTTTCTTGTCCTACCCACTACTGCTGACACAAATGGATTGCTCTCTGCCCTTTGGGGAAGCCTGGTATTTACCCAAAGATTTGTCAGGACCTCTTAAATTATCTTATTTTTGAGCTAAGTGGCCTGGATTCTTTACATTTTTCCTGAAAATCAGCTCTTCAGGCTGTTGATTGTGCTTCCTTCCCTGCTTCAGATTTCCTAATGGGTATGCACCTTACAATATATATTTTCAGGGTTTGCCAGGGATGAGGAGAGCAGAGGCTGTTTCACAGAATTTACTATTTATAGCCCTGGTTCAGTATTTCAGTGGACCATGAGATTTAGTTATGATACACTGTGTTTCTCAAGTCTTTTCTGGAGGACTATTTGGCATCCAGTTGCTTCCCATCCTGGATTTTTGCAGTTTTATCTCTTCCTACCTAAATGTATTCTCTTGACTTGTCTTGAGTAGCCTGCTGTTTTGCCCAGGCCATCAGTGGGATCATGCAATGTTACCCTGACTTTGGTTTTCAGTTCAAAGTCTCAAGTGCCATTTCAGTTTCCAGAAAAGTGAAATTTTCTCAGTCTTCTTAAATGCATTACTCTAAATTCTGTGCATATAAAGTGAACATGCAGAGTCCACATTTTCACTTTGCTCAGAGGAAGCTTGTTATGCTTCTACGCTTCTGACCTACTACTATGAGGTAGTAGGTCAAAATTACTTTTGCTGAGGAATGCACATTCTTCTTAATGAGCATTTGAAAGGCCTACAAATTAGCATTTTTTCTCCCTAATTTATTTCTCTTTCTCCTGCCTACCTCCAAAATCTAGATATCTATTTTACTCTATTAGATTGTTTTATATTTTCAAGTTCATTTACTTTATTATTTAAAAATAAGGGTTTTTTTTTTTGAGTAGGACTGCAATTGTGTTCCACTCAGCATGAGCTAAGTGTTATTCCAAAGGTAGTTTTGCCTACTGGGTATAAGAAAAGCAAAGCCCTTAAGCAATTTCTACTGTACTTTTTTTTTTTTTTCTGGCACCAGACAGAAGACATGGAAATCTTTTCTTATGAAGAATGCATTATAAATTTGCAAGATGCATTTTATAATAAAATTTTGTTTCCTTTCCCGTAAAATAAATAGAAACTGTCATCCTCTTCAACAGGTAGAAATAGAATTTAGGTTCAGTTTCTGTCTAAGTTCTCTTTCTGGGACATCAATTGTTATGAAGCAGAGGCAATAAAAGGCAGTAAAGGAAGTGGTCTGTGGAGCAGTAAATGGGCTTTGTTTTCACTAAAGTAATGAGAAGTTATTTTTGAAAATTATTTCTATTTCTCTTCCTCATGGCTCTCTTTTGGGGTCCAGGAAGCTAGGAAAAAAAAAGACAAACAAACAGAGAAGCCAGTCTTTAACGTGTCCTAGTACTTTCAAAATTCTTCTTAGTAAATAAAAAATTCCAATAAAGTCTCCTCTCCTCTCCTCTCCTCTCCTCTCCTCTCCTCTCCTCTCCTCTCCTCTCCTCTCCTCTCCTCTCCTCTCCTCTCCTCTCCTCTCCTCTCCTCTCCTCTCCTCTCCTCTCCTCTCCTCTCCTCTCCTCTCCTCTCCTCTCCTCTCCTCTCCTCTCCTCTCCTCTCCTCTCCTCTCCTCTCCTCTCCTCTCCTCTCCTCTCCTCTCCTCTCCTCTCCCAGACTGAAATCAGCTCTGTGCAGCCACAGCTGGCAGCTGATGTGTTTGCACTCCTCTCCTCTCCTCTCCTCTCCTCTCCTCTCCTCTCCTCTCCTCTCCTCTCCTCTCCTCTCCTCTCCTCTCCTCTCCTCTCCTCTCCTCTCCTCTCCTCTCCTCTCCTCTCCTCTCCTCTCCTCTCCTCTCCTCTCCTCTCCTCTCCTCTCCTCTCCTCTCCTCTCCTCTCCTCTCCTCTCCTCTCCTCTCCTCTCCTCTCCTCTCCTCTCCTCTCCTCTCCTCTCCTCTCCTCTCCTCTCCTCTCCTCTCCTCTCCTCTCCTCTCCTCTCCTCTCCTCTCCTCTCCTCTCCTCTCCTCTCCTCTCCTCTCCTCTCCTCTCCCAGACTGAAATCAGCTCTGTGCAGCCACAGCTGGCAGCTGATGTGTTTGCACTTCCCTCTGGAGAGCTGTACTTGCTGAAGCATGGCAGGATGACACCTCCCTTGCCTGTTTGTATTCTCAGGGAAAAATATTGTAAGGCCAGGCACTGTTCCCCCATGCAAAGCTGCATGCTTGAAGCTAATGTGTGCTGATAACACTCATGGTAAGAGAAAATGCCTGGCTCCATCCACCTCTTCTGCAATTCCGTATTACTTCATTAGCTTTAGTGATTAATTGTTATCTCCATATAGCATGTTCTAGTTGATTCATTATTATTGGAAACAGAAGGGTGGAATAATACCAAGATATTTTCACAAGTTGTCCCATAAGTAATGAGAAATTCTTTAATTCTTCACTTTGTTGTAATTACATTCAAAATGTACGTTATGTTGTCAAGTAGGTTTTTAGAAAATAGTACTTAAAATTCTGCTACTTAGCTTCAAATCAGCACATACCTACTCTCCCTTGCAGCATTCTTAACAGAAATTGCCATCATATTTATTTAAGGTGGAGTTGGCCCCACTGTTTTTAAACAGAACTCAGAGAACAGCCAAGACAACAGTCAGAAGAAAATTAGGCAGTGCATTTCCATAAAGCTTTCCTTTATGTACAGACTAAATAAATTTAATTTTCATGAAGAGATTTGCTTTGCTTTATAATACAGCAGATCAACTTTGCTATTGAAAAGTCGTGGTAGATAGAACTGACAGTTCTCTTTCCTCTGCTGCTTTGGGAACTCTGTGAGTTATAAGATAAATGAACCAGAGGGGTCAAGCAGCTCTAGAAAGAATTTTAACTATGCAGAGGGAAAGCGAGTCTTGCTCAGACAGGAGACTTGCTATTTGCATTTTCTGGCTAATTGTGCATTTGATTTGCATTTTCTCTCAGTTACCTAAATATGTGTATTAAAATACTTCAGAATGTACTGAAGGATGATATCTGAAGAGAGCTTCTTTTGCTCCAAATCTCTCCTATTTTCTAAGGAGAGCTTCCTTTCCTGGTTATGTTCTAGAGCAGGCAGCCACTGAGTCTTCAATGCCCAGGGAATGCAGCCAGCCTTTCAGGAGCTGCAGAATCTTTCACTATTCCTAAATACTTAAAGGTTTCTCTGTGATCATTGGGGTAACCCAACTTTGTCTTACTTGCTTGTTCTTTTCATTTGAGATTTTATTTTAATTTGAAAGCAAAGGCCATTCATCCTGTGCTATCTGTGAACTTTTCCTTGTTACAGTCGAAGTGAAAATGTGGCGAAAATCTTTGAAAATCACAATACTGTAACTTACATGTTGTTAGCACATAACAAGTCTGTGAAGTGTAAAGCATTGTTCTCTTTTTCTCTCATGCAGGCTGGATTGCCATGTTGGGAGCCCTTTGGCTGCTGGTGCTAGCAGACATCCATGATTTTGAGATGATATTGAACAGAGTTGAGTGGGCAACCCTTCTTTTCTTTGCAGCATTGTTTGTTCTCATGGAGGTAATATTTTCTGATTCTAAAGCCTGAAGAATTGAAAAAGATTTCAAATATGAATTATGTTCCTGGAGAGAGGCCTCCTGCTGATTCAATCCCACTGGAATATTGTTGATTAAATGTAGTTATGATAATATAGAGAGGATTAGCAGAGAATGAAAGTTAGGTGGACCACTTTCCTATTTAAATTTTCATTATAAACTTGGTCTCATTCTCTTTCCATATTCTGCTTTTGTTGAATGTATCAGACACAATCATTTTTCTATGATTTAAATTTCAGTTTCTGGGTTTATTGTTGGTCTATGTGTACAGATATTTTATGTGTATTTATGTGTTTGTTTACAATTATTTATACAGATGATAGGAGAAATAATAGAACAAGATTAAACTAGAGTTGAAAAATGCTTCTACTGCTGTCTGCTTGCTACATGCTGGCTACCAAATGGTCTAAGATATTTCATGGGAGTGTGATTTGAAAGGAAAATAACACTGAATTTCAGTTTGCAATGCTAATTTAAAAAAAATTCAGCTCTTGAAATGCCTTGATATCTTGCTGTGTATTTTCTGTGTGCTTGTCTGCTTGACAGCATCCATGTCCATCCAGGTTTGTATCCCCTTTTATTCCCTATTTGATGTTTTGCATAGCTTGAGAGGATTTATTCTTATGCCAAATATTTGGATTTTTTTTTTGTGTGTGGATACTCACTGTAACTTTTTAATTAGGCTTCTAGAATGCTGACTGTTTTTCAGTTGTTAATTGTTGGGTTTAAATGATGTAATAATGTAGACACATGACTGACAATACCCAAGTGACCACTGACACTGCCATGGCTAGTGAATTGCCTGAGTGAGAAGCCTGGGAAAAGCCTGTGATAACTAATTGCTCATATAGCCTCATTCCTCCCCTCTTCCCTCCCAATAATTGCAAAGATTCCAAGAATCTGGAAATTGGAATCTATTAAAAAAATCAACAGCAGTAACAGGGACAGCATTTGAAGGAAATAGAAACAAGAACCAATCCGACTGACTCTAACTAATGCCAAACTGGAAGTCAAAATCTGGTAACCTCCAAGAAGATGAGTGGAAACTCTGATTATCATTATGAAATTTTCTGTGAGCTACCAAGTCTAAAGTTAATCAGGAAATATTGATTTATTGTATGCTCATTAGAACAGGAAATTTTTAGTCCTCCATTTTATGAGGTTCCATATAACCTTGAATTTCTAGCTCTTACAGGGAATCAATGCTGAAGCCATGTTTATTTTGTCTACTGCTGTTGTAAGAGTTTATTAGTTGTGTTCCCTGATGTATTTATTGTTTGAACTTTGATTGACCGGCTGTGAGTTGAGTGCTGTGTGACTGCACAATACCATAGTAAAAATACACAGGAAGTTATTTGTCTTTAGATACAACTGTTATAATTCACTGAGCTTCTTTCTTTCGATTTCTCACGTCACCAGTGAATAGTTTGCTAATGAAATAACATTTCTCCTGGCTTTCTAGAATAATAGTAGTTTAAGGTCATGAAAGAAACTTGTCCAGATAATGAAGAAAAAAATATGAGATATTAAATTCTTCCCCACAATGAATGAGAAAATGTTCTGTGTATATCATCACTGTTAATTTTTATCTGAATCTATTGGATTAGTAGGTGGTAGTCCTTTCCAAGGTATTTTTCTTTCCTTTAGATTACCAGTGTCAAGAAAAGACTGGCCAAAACAAAGATATACATTGAAGTATAAGAAATCTTTCCATAGTCTAGGGTATCCAGAAATTGCCAGCTCATACTGCTCACCCTTGGTGATTCTTCAGCTTGGATAGTTCCCAGTCTGAAGCTGTTTCCTGCTGCTGTAAATATTCTCTTTCCTATTAAAAGGCACATTTAAAAACCTGTGTGGGACTTAGGCTGCAAGTAATTTTGGAAAATGGGATTTGAATTCCAGATATTTTGGAAAACATGATTTGAGTTCCTGAACTACAGGGGAACTCCTGAAGGTTCTGCCTTTGGGGGTCCATCAGTCCAGTTTGGTGCATCTTTCACTATCAAAAACTTGGAAATCCTTGGAACTCTCTTGTTATCTATTGTGTCCCCTGGGTAATTAATCTTTACAGCTGTCTTTTTAGTCTTTATCCACAAGTGGCTCTTACACGCTATAAAAATCTTTCTGCTTCTTCTGTCTCTGTAAAATAAGTCCCTATGTTTCTCAGGATTACAGTTCTTTGCTCAGTTTTATAGTAGAAATTGGCATGTTACCTTAATTCCTTCTGGCAGAGTTTATTTACAAGAGTTATCATGACATACTGTCCACAAAAGGATTAATGAAAATTTTTATGCATAAATTAGATTTTGTTTTAAAATGGCACAAGATTTCTTTCTGCAGAAAAGCTCTGTTGTGAACTCCCCCACAGGAACTAGTGTGCCTGAAGACACCAATTATGTGCAATAATGCTAACTCCTCTTAGAAGACACAGGAATATCCAGGAGACCCTCTGTGCAGTTTACACGCAGGGGAGGATGGTGGCAGGGTGCTAATTGCTGACTTGTGCTTAGTGCTTGCAGGAGATTGGCCTTGAGATCATAGAGACATCCTAGAATTATTTATGTGATTAATATTGTCACCATCTCTAACGAGATGGGCTACATGCAGACTCTCTTGCAGGAGTGATGTGTGTGTCCTGAACGTCTCTTTTTGAGTTCCAGAATTAATTTGGAGTGTTACTGTTAGTAGATAATTAATAAGGCAGCAATATTAATTGAATGTAAATCTGGGCTCTAATTGCTGGCAACTATCTGTTTAGAAGTTTATTTTGAAGCATGAACACAGCAATGATGCAAAAATTATTGCTGTTCATTAAGAATATTGCTTTTACATACATTTAAAAAATCACTGTCATATCCTTTGAGTTGATAAAGCAACACAAATAGCTTAGAAAGAAAATGGTAACTTAAAATCAACAGCAAGAATTAACTTCTTAGGCAAAATTCTCTTTGGAAGCCAAAATAATGAAAAAATGTTCTTTTTTTAAGTGTAATTGATATGTGCCTATTTTGTTGCTTGTTTTCTGCATGCTGTATCTTTAATTGTAGATAAACCTTTTCTTGTTCAATATATTGCTAAAAATTTATATTTCTGGGCCAAATTTACTGTGATTTGGTGATACCCAAACCACTATTATTCTGCTGATGTCCAATTGAGCTGCAGGTACAGGAATTGCTAGTCTGAATGAAAGCACCTTAGTCACTGACAAACCAGTGTCCTGTGCCACACCACTCAATGCCCATTGGGATCTTTGTCTGCATCTGTCATGGAATTTGACAGCATGTGAATTGAATGCTTTTTTTCCCACTGCAGTCTCTGAAGGGCTCTGTCTGACTGCCAGGCGGGGGGATTATACAGAGCTGTGTTGTGTGAATACTGACTCCTGCAGCTCAGTGAGGGACTGATGTCAGTAAGGGAGGCATTGCAGTTGACTGCTTCTTTTTCTGGACAGAAAAAAAGAAAGCAAGCCAACCAGCGTGGTCTAGGCTAAATCAAAAATGATGTGATTTTCTCCCCTGAGAAACTGAGACGTCATCAAATAGATATACCTTATTAAACCTGAAAATAGTACTTTGTTCTTCATGCCTACAAGAAAAGAAAACGAAACCAAAGTGAATTAAGGGCTAGCACTCACAAGTTAAAATCACCCTTTTACTTGTGGGTCAAGGGAATATGTCACTGTCCTCAGGTGTGAAGACTTAGTCTGTATATTGTGTGCCCAAGGAGAGATCAGAGTTAATACCACCAGGCTGAAGTCTTCCTATATCTTTTCATCTGTGGTAGCATCACAGGATGCTGTCTAAATGTCCTGTAAAACTGGGAATGGTTCTCACAGAGAGGACAGAGCACTCTGACCCAGGCTGTCCTGGGGTCCAGTGCTTACAGGGCTCACGACCTTAGTCCATGTGCCTAACTTTGGGCATTGGAGAGACGGATTTCCTGCCTTTCAGATGCTGCTGCCTCTGTGCCAATTTCCATTCACTCAAGATCTCTGTCCTGGTTTTAGCAGATGGATACTGGTTTTGGTAGTTTTTGTTGTAGGTTTTTAGGCCTCTTTTTGAATGGGTCAGAGATAGCCATAAAATAGAAATATAATTTGTTTTCCTGTTTCTTCTTCTGAGACTGAGAATGAGATGCCTGATTTAATCCAGCCTTTGAAACACATTATATACTTCTATCTATATTGTGGGTTTGAGAAAGTTGGTTTAAAATCAGTTGTGTTCAGGTTTTCAGAAGACATGTATCCACTGAATAATGTAATTAAATTTCAGCCATTCTCTGATCTTGTGTCCCATGCTCTTGAATAACACTGCAAGTTATTTCAGTGCAACCTTTACTCACTTCTGCAAATACAGCCACCAATTTCTGTTGTATCTTTTCTTGCCTAAAATTAATTCTGTACAAGCTACATGAGCTGAATATAAATATCTTGTAAATAGGAATAAATTATTGCCTTTTTTTACATCCAGTGGAAAAAAAAGTAAGTACGTCATGCACTTCATTAGTTGACATCAATGTCCTTCTTTTTTTTACCCCAGGCTTTGGCTCATCTGCACTTAATAGACTATATAGGAGAGCAGACAGCTTTGTTAATAAAGGTATGTTTAAAATATTTATAATTTCTAAGAGGCAAGAAAAATAGTTTTATTCCAATAGAAGAATAAAGAATAATTTTATTTTGAATTTGATGGTAATTATTGCATTCCTGCACCAGTAGTATCAAGAAAGGATGTCATACTTTGGCATGGGTGATATTTAATATGTATATATCTGTCCACAGCCAGAATACATATAGCCACAAATGGAACAGAAAAGCTTTTTCTATTGTCTAAAACTCCAAATGCAAAGGTGAAAAATGTATAAACAGCTAAAGGTCAAAATTCACAGTTGCACAGTGTATTTTTTGTGTGAAATCTGAGTATTAGAAATATCAATCTCTGCACTTCTATTTGTCCTTGTTTTCTTGGAAGAAGGACTGTAATTGTGTTACTAAATGTTAGGCTATTTTATCTAAGATGCCTTTCCTATCTCAGAGCCTAAAGGAATAATAACCATCGATAAATTAAAACTGTAAAGAACGTGCAATTATGCCATGGGGGACACACAGAGCAACACTGATCTCAAAGTTATAATTTTCTATCTCTCAATTCCAGGTGGTTCCTGAGGATCAGCGCTTGGCAGTGGCCATTATTTTAGTGCTCTGGGTGTCTGCTTTGGCCTCCTCTGTGATTGACAACATCCCCTTCACAGCTACAATGGTAAGCTCTGTGCAGCACTGCACATCCTCCTCCAGGTGCTGGCAAGGGAGCTGAGCTTCCTGATTACAATTTGCTGTTTGGTTTCTTGGGTTTTTTTGACCTCTGCTGTGCTGTAGCTTACTTTATCCTGTGAGATTGAATCAGCATTAGAAACTAACTCATGCTCTTAAGGCATCTTGCTGGCCATTGACCCCTGCAGCTGCAGGTAGCTGTGGGACCAGAGGCACTGTTCTAGCTGCATTTTTGCTTTTTCTCCTCTTATATCCACATACATACTTGAAAAATAGAATTTTCTTTTTGATGGGAAGAAAAGATGTCACTATCCATCCACTGCTATAAATGTTTTTCCTCTATGTGCTGAGTAGTTATGCTAATGCTTTTTTAACACCCATACCTTTTATTGCTAGCTTACTTTTGTAATTAGTTTAAAAAACACCAAATTATGTTAAGCATAACAAATGCTTGTCAGCAGCTGAGCTTTAATATCAGAAAAGTATCAAGTTATAACAAATTATGGCATGCTCAGATAGGTTTATTCAATCAAGTTCTCTGTTTAAAAGTGTGATAATTCATTCATTATACCATACTAATATTTCATTGTTACAGCTCTTTCTCAGCAAATCTTTTCCACACATTTTTTCGTCCATTATTGGATGGTCATGTCCACTCTTAACCTGTGCCAAGGTTTAAGACATTTCTTGTAGGACATATGACAAATTGGGCAGATTTGTGACCACTCTATAATTATATATTGCTATGGTATTTTGCTTTGATTACCATGGTGTTTCCTGTGAAATGATGTTGATTTAGCCACAACAGACTGCGAGCAACAGGCGTGAAAGGAAAGATTGTTTTGGGATGAGTCACCTCCCAGCAAATGCTTGAGGATACTAAGCAATAATGCAGAAATCTTCACTTAGAAGATTTTTGTCTCATACCCAGCTAGTCTATAAAAATTGTCTTGGAGTAGTACCAAACAGCACCATGAAATGAGTATGTTTTGGGAAATGGGACTGAAGTGCAAGAATCTTCTGGGATGCCTGAGGACCATTTCTTTTGTATCTTTGAGGGTGGCAAAAACAGATTGACAGCAAGGGAACCATTTTCAACATTTTAAGCTATTTAAAATTTGTATTTTTCTAATTTTGTTACAGAATGAACATAAGAGACTGCTACAATATTTTAATTTTATTTTAATAGTCAGAAAGAAGAGACAAGAAGAAAAATGCATGCATATTGTCACCCATGTAAAAGCAGTCATTAGCTGAGGTGTTAAGATGTTAATGTGCTACTTGGCAAACTAGAGTTGAGATTCATCTACTTCTGTGAATAGGCTTGCACTTTAGCCTTTGTCATTCTACATCAGCAAATACTTACAGAACGTTCCTAAGTAACTAAGTCCCAAGATCTTTTAACTTCCATTTAAAATTCTTTTTGATTCTTTAATACTATGTTCATACTCTTAAAACAAGCAGTATTTAGTTTTGGAAGGCTATTTTTCAGTGTATGCACCAAAGTTATGAACTTCTGATGAGGAATATAAAATATATTGAACCCAACTCTTTTGTAGAATGACTTTTCACTAATCAGGAATTTCTATATATGAGTTTGGTTTGGCATTCCCTAGTGATGTAGGAGTATGGGGCACCTGCTATGACGTAGCCATGAATGATCCTGTCCTTTCCTGGGAAAAGGTTCCAGCTCCACAAATGAGCCTGCACTCATCATAATGAAAGACAGATGTAGTGAATCCATCCAAGTGTCCACAAGTCTCCTTCAGTGGTGAACAAATGTCATGACAATGGGTCAGCCTCTCCTGCATTTTTCATTAGATATAGCTTTGATGGACTGGGTACTGGCTTGGGATGTGGAATCCATCAAGTTCCTTCAGATACAAAAAAAATCTGGGCAGCTTCATAGGTATCAGCTGTGTACTATGAATAAAATGTTTGGAGGATGACATCACAGACCTCTGCCTACATTGGCTTTGCCACTGACCAGAAGGAGTTCAGGGAATCCAGTCTCATGACATAATAGGTTTGACTTGTACATTAATTCCTTAAATATCATACAGAGATGATGAAAGGCCTGGTGGCAGCTCACAGTCAATGATACTAATAGTGTCATTTCTACATTAGAAAGACAAGCATACAATGATTTTTGTCCTGTATTTCAGGAATGAGGCAGTCTTGCCAGTTCTTTTGATTTTGAGCCCCCAGATGACTGTGGGAAAAACTACTGTGATGGTGAGGGCATCTGGAAAGCTACACTGTGTTGTTCCTTCAGGGGTGGGAAGCTTCAAGACAGGCATCAGTTCATACATGAGATGTCCCCAATACTGGCTCTGTGCTGTTGGATAAGGTCTTCCACTCAGCCCCTAAAACAATATGCTGTGCATGCTGTCCAGACTTGGAACAGGGAGAGAGTAGTAACTCAGAAAAGGATTGAGGAGGGGACAGTCTTCTATGTGAGGTGACTGCCTCCCTGGGCTGAAGGCACTGCAGATGTGAACTCTCAATTTTCTGTTGTGCAGAGTGTTTTGACCCAGGAACTACCTGAGAAATGGAAGAAATACACAATTCCTTTAGAGCCTGAGTCTTGACTTAGATGAATAGCTGAAGGGAATCAAAACAGAAAAACCTGCAAATAGCTCTGTAACTGAGATGTTGTGTTTCCTTTAAAAAATCAAGTTGATGTATGGTTGTCCAAAATTTCCTTTCACTCTCTGTTTTTGAATTAGTGAGATAATCAGATTCATAATGATTTGTTCTGTGTATAGAAAAAAAAAAGGAAAAAATATTAATGCCTAGTTAATGGATCTTGAGACTGAAAGTTTCACTTTATCTGTATTTGGTTAAATTCAACTGCTTCATGTAAAGTTTCATATAAAGTAAAATTTATAGCTGATTTAATAGTCAGTTAACTTTAAGAGGATGCGAAAAGTGGAAACTGTAGATTGATATTTTGAAAAGGCAATTAGAATTATCTGAGCCAGCATTACACAGAATTCTAGGAAATAAACTATTTTATGATTTGAAGTAATGAAAACCAATAAGGAAAATTATTTCCTAGAAGAAATTCTATGTATTTTCAAGAGATTCTATGTATCTATGTAGACAAATTAGGATTCTTCCTTATCCTAAAACACAACACATTATCCACAGTCTTAAGAATAAAACATAAATATTTTTGGTTATTTTAAGATGGGTATAATATAGAGTGAAAAATATTCATGTGTTTAAACAGAGAGACCATATCAATGATTTTCAGGAGCCTTCAGCAACATAAAGAAAATTTCTCTCTTACTAAAATATTCAGAAATTACAAAAATCAGATCAGTGTATTATTTGAAGTGCCTTATACTGGAAATACCTTTCCAGTGCAGTGCAACACTTTTGTTTGTGAAATTCTTCTCTGCTCTAGGCAAGGGTAAATTCAGTGTAACCTACAATCAAAAATGTCAGTACCATATGGAATTCATGTATGGAAGTTGCTAAATGGAAAACTCTGTGAAGAGGGCAGAACACAGCATGTATTTTTGCTACAAAGTATGCTGTACAAAGATAATAGCCTACAAGAAACAATTGAATGAGTTTCTGAGTGCACTTAGCTCATCATAGGTTGAGTACTTTTATTGCTTCTGTCTTGCCAAAATTCTGTGTTTTTAAAAATTAAAATAGAGCACTGGAACTGCATGATGATAAAACAGTTTTTGAAATGTCTTCTAATTGCTTATTTCAAATAATTTGTTCTGTATGCAAAGACAATGAACTGCCCCAAAACAAGATGGGGGGGAGTGGTTGAGAATTGCCCAATGAACTGTAATCCCAGGAGTTTCCTCTTCACTCTAAATTGAAAAGTGATAATCCAGCTCCCTAATTAAATATATGTCTGCATGAGTGTTTATTGCATTTCTTTGCATAAGCATGCCTGGCAACTCTGATAGCTATCTGCAAGTGATAGTACAATCAATCGTTTCTTGTCACCAAGTAAAACAAATACTGTATAAAAGTACTGTAGAATTATAGAATAGACTATTTCACTTGGAGGAGACCAACAGCAATCATCCAATACAACTGCCTGAGCAAATCAGGACTGACCAAAAATTAAAGCCTGTTATTAAGGGTATTGTTCAAATGACTCTTAAACCCTGACAGGCTTAGGCCACTGAGCACCTCCCTAGGAATCTTTTTCCTGTATTTGACCACCCTCTCAGTAAAGAAATGCTTCCTAAAGTCCAGTCTGAATGTACTATGATGCAACGCTGAGCCATTGCCCCATATTTTGTCACTGGATCCCAAAGGAGCTCAGCACATCCATCTCTACTTCCCCTTCTCAGAAAGCTGTAAAAAGTAATGAAATCCCCCCCTCAGCCCTCTTCTCTCCAACCTGGACCAACTCAGCTGCTCCTCACAGGACACACCTTCCAGCGCTGTCACCAGCTTTGTTGCCCTCCTCTGGACACGCTCAAGGGCTTTCATACAGTCCCTCAAGAGAGTCAACAGCACCTCCCAGTACAGCATCATTAGTAAACCTGCTAATGGTGCATTCAACTTCTGCCTTCAGATTGTTAAATATTCAGATAAATATTTTGAACAGAAGTGGCCCTAGAACTCTGAGGAACATCTCTGGTGCCTGGTCACCAGTCAGCTGTAGCCCCACACGCTGCAGCTCTCTGGGCTCTGCCCTTCTGCCAGGTGTTCACCCAGTGCACTGTGAACCTGCTCATCCCACAGCTGGACAGCTTGTCCATGCTGTGAGGAACAGTAACAAAAGCCTTCCTAGGATCCAGAAAAACTACATCCACTACCTTCCCTTCATCCATGAGGAGGGTGACTTTATCATAGAAGGATATCAAATTAGTTAAACAAGACTTTCCACTCTGAGTCCCTATTGGCTGTGCCTGATGGTTGTACTGCTCTTTAAATGCCTTTCAACAGTGCCCAGTACAATCTTTTCTGCATTTTTTCCATGCTCTGAGGTTAGACTAACAGGTCTGTATTTCTCTGGGTCTTTCTTCATGCTCTTCCTCTAAACTGGAATAACACTGACAAGCTGCCAGCCAGCAGGGACCTTCCCAGGTTCCCAAGACCTTGACATTGATCAAGAAGGGTTCTGCCATAACCTCTGCTGGCTTCTTCAATACTCTGGCATGAATCCCATCATGCTCCATGGACTTGTGAACATTCAGCTGATACGACTGGTCCTTTTACAGTTTCAGGGTCCCACATTTTGAGTTTGTGAAATACTTTGTGGGAAACTCTGTGAACTCTGTATGTAAAAGGATGTGTTGCCTGGAGCAAATCTAATCTGTGTTGCCAGCTGAAAATCCAGTATATATAGTTATACCTGGGAACTGCTTAAGAAGCACCAAGATAATGTTTTATCATAAAAAATTCATAAACCAGGAGCTTGGCTATTATATTTCTCACATTTTAATTTTTGAATGGCAAGAGTTTTTGTCCCGTTGCATATCCAGCTTTCTTTGTCTGCAGAATAAATGTATTGATGCTCTATTGATGCCCTATGTGACATTCTACTAAACCTCTGATATTCCTTTTCCTTTATCAACAGGCTAAACTCACAGTGATTCTTTGACAGGCAGACTTCCTAATTTTCAAGGCCTGGACTTTCCTAGTATTGTCATGTTTGAATAGCCATGAATTTCTGCCATTAGAATTTTAAGTGACATGATGTTATTACCAGTATGCTCTTTAGTTTAATTTACATGTTTTATCAGCTATATATGCTGAAGCCGTCTCTTTGTTTTATTACCAGAAATGAAAAGACAGCCACAGTAAATCCCCATTTTAGCTGAGTTTAAATACTATTTCCTCAATATAGAGCAACAATTTCTGTGAGTCATCTGGCTGACAAGGTGACTTAGTCTCTGACAGGTCTTAGAAAGTAAACAATTTTTGGCCCACTGTTTATTGTCTCTAACACTATTGGATGCTTTTCTCTTGCAGTGCTGAATGTTTCTCATGTATCTCATGTTCTTAATGTCAGCTCTATTTTTGGAATTGCCTTGCCCTCTGCCCTTCCAGCATTATCTATGATGTCCTGCATTTCACTGCTGGGTAAAAGTGCAAGACTGGACTGTAACTGTCTGCAGAGACAGAGCAATCATCAACAATTTGGAAAGCTACAAATAGTTTGTTTTCTATTAATGCATATTCTCTGCAGTTTTCACAGAAGACATCTTTGCCACAGGCAGTTCTTAGTGACGTGTGTGTAGTGGAGTCTCATGGTGTAGAGCAGCAATGAGTCCCTAAAATAACAGCGTGAATTGCTGTTTCATAGACATGCACAAATAGACAAACCAGACAATGTCATAGGAGCATGGAATGCTTTAGGTGTGAAGATCTTTAAGATCATCCAGTTCCAACCCTCCTGCCATGGGAAGGGACACCTTCCACTAGACTAAGCTTTTAAAAGCCCTGTGTAACCTGGTCTTCAACACTTTCTCCATGCTGAAGACAAAAGTGTTAAATGGTACCAATCCCCATATCAACTCCCGAGGAATGACACTTGTCAATGGGGTCCCCTTGGACATTGAGCCATTGACCACAACTCTTTAAATATGACCATCCAGCCAATTTCTTATCCACCAAATGGTCCATCAGATCCATGCCTCTCCAGTTTGGGCCAAAGCTATCAAATTTGCCAGGCACCATTTGCACTTAGTGAAGCCATATTGGATGTCATCAATCACTTCCTTGTTTTCTATTTGCCTTAGCATACTTTCCAGGAGGATCTGTGCTGGTGAAGACCAAGATAGAAAAGTTATTGAGTACCTCAGCCATTTCCACATGTCCTGGATAACCAGGTCTCCTATTTCCTTGCTCTACATTTTCCCTAGTCTTCCTTTCATCACTGAGGTACCTATAGCAGCTTTTCTTGTTTTTCTTGATGTCCCTGACCAGATTTAAATCTCTCAGAGCTTTAGCTTTCCTAACCTGATTGCTGGCTGCTTGTATAATCTCTCTCTATTACTCCCAGGATAACTGTCCTTGCTTCCACCCTCTGTAAGATTCTTTTTTCCTTGTTTGAGTTTGTCCAGGAGTTCCATGTAGGCCTCCTGGCATTTTTGCCTGATTTTTTCTTTGTCAGGATGTGCTTCTGAGCTTGGAGGAGAAGGTAATTGAATATTAACCAGTGTTTTTGGGCCACTCTTGATCTGCTGAATTCTGCACTGCACAGCTATAGGACCTGGTAACTTGCTTAAGTGACTCTTCTTGCACAATGAGGGTGTGTGCAATTCCTTGTACAAGTGCTGTCTTTGGGAAGCAGAAATAGCTGAGAGGGTTTCCCTCTTTGTGAGCCTGCTGCTCATCCCAGGAGGAGATGCTCACTGAGAGAGCTGTACCAGTGCCCCTCCTCTGGTCTTCTCTCTGCATATCTGGTGCACTGGTGGCGTGAGGGACATTATTTGCTCTGCACTCAGGAGCTGTCTGCCAATGGCTTTAGGACTGATCTCAACAATAGGAAATATTGAGAACTAAATTGTTTTTAATTAAATATAACTTAATTTTGTATTGCTTATCACATTCTATCTGTGATGGTTTGAAAGGAATAAAGCTTGTGATGAGAAATGACATCTTTATTTACTGTTTCATGCACAAAACAGACAAGATGTTGAGCATGCTAAACCTTCTTTAGGCCTTAAAATAGAAATAGACATCTTCAGGCAATGTAAAATTCAAGAATAATTGTTTAGAAATTAGCTTATCTAGACTAATCGATAAGAGGGTTTAAGAGGGATGAGTAGCACGACTGGTGGGAGGAATGGGGAAAGGGCTGTAATTCTTCATTAAGCCTGTATATTGCTCCATACCAAAAGAACACATGCAGTCAATAAAGCCAAGCATCACTCAGCCATCAAAGTGAAAGCATTTTTCAGAAAGCAGAAGAGATCATACCCCTTGAGGGTGAACTGTGAAATACATTAAAATGACAAATTGGAGGATTAAAAGTCATAACTCTATTGACTACTGAAACTCCTAGACTCTGAGAAAGCATTAATTTTAAGATATATCACAGTTATTTTCTCAAATCTTTTCCTGCTTCATATGTTACTGTTCCACATTTTCTTATTCTTTCTCTTTCCCTTTTTTCCCCATAAACCTCTGAACATGTTAAAAACAAGAGAACGATATTGTCACCTCTCCCCTTCCCAATAACTTTCTCTCTACAGGTACTGATCACACCATTTTTTCAAACCAAGTAGTCACAAAATTATGTTGAACTCAAACCATTTTTCTGAACTAAGGTGAAGTTGTTTAGCTTTGAAGAACATTACTGGCTGCGAACTGGTGCTAGATCTGGCTAGAAAGCCTGCCTGCTGTATTTTTGGGCTCTATACCAACTGGCTAATGAAGTCTATGATGCCTTCCTACCAATCTTATTTCACTTTTTGGGGGTTTTTTTATGTTTTTCTTTTCTTTTTTTTTTTTATTTTATTTGCTAAAGCAATTAAATGAAATCCATGAAACTGCCTGTTCTGGTTTTGACTGGCATGGGATTAATTGTCTTAGTAATAGCTGCTACAGTGCTGTGCTTTGGATTTACTATAAGAATTATTTTGATAACACACTGATGTTCTGGTTGTTGCTAAGTAGTGCTTATCCCCAGTCAAGGACTGTTCATTTTCCCATGCTGTGCCAGGGAGCAGGAGCACAAGAAACTGGAAGGTGGGTGAGGGGGCATAACCAGGAGAGCTGACACAAACTGGCCAAAGGGGTATTCCGTACCACAGAATGACACACTCAGTAGGGAGTTGTCCAGTTGTCACCAATTGCTTCTGAGGGATGGGCTGGGCAGCAGTCAGCAGGTAGTGACCAATTGTATTATACATAATTAATTTATCTTCCACTGTACTCCTTTTTCTGTCATTCATTTTCATTAATATAATAAAAATAAAAATCTTATTTGCTATCATGATAATTATTAATTATTGTTATAATATTTTTAAAATCATTAAACTGTTTTTATCTCACCCCATAAGGTTTAATGTTTTTTTCCTGATTATTCTTTCTCTCTAAGGGGAGATGTGGGGGAGTATGAGATGGGAACGACATGGTGCTTAGTTGCTGGCTGGCATTAGAACTTTTGCAAATATTTCTCAGTCAACTAAATCCACATTCTCTGGTAAATATAATGTTAAAATAAGAAGTGAAATAACTCTGATCTGCTTATGAATTCAGAAGCCTGCCAAATGGAGTTTTCTCAATTTTTCCCTAATCAATCAGATATTTTTGATTAAAAAAGGATTTGTAATTTTTTGGTTACTGACTCAAGATCTACAGCCATCTTCACTGTGAAGGTCTGGGCATCTTTTACCATCATCTCCAGTGAGAAGAGGAGATAGATCTCTGTGCTTTACCTTTCATGAAATGAAAGGGGAATTGATTTATAGTCACTGTCAGTTCCCTGTAGACCTAGGAGGGTCTCATGGAAGGCACTCAAAACCTGAAGACAGCCTCAGTTTTGTTAGCAGTACTTGTGTCAAGCTTGACCTAATGTCAATAGCTTCTCCTCAGCTATGGGACTGGCACAGTCAGTGGGGAAAAGGGAGCAAATATCAAGCATATGATGCAAAGAAACTAAATAAGAATAACAACATCAAGAACAAAAAAAATTCTTCCCCCCAATTACTCTTTGGCCTTACTGGTGGTATTAATTGTTTCCTTTAATGAACTTTGTTTATGTTGTGCTGATGGTTGGGTTATGTCTTCTGATTCTCTCTCTTTTCTTCTTGAACCACAGATTCCTGTGCTTCTCAACCTGAGTAAAGATCCAGATGTTAACTTGCCTATGAAACCATTAATCTTCTCATTGGCTATGGGTGCATGCCTTGGAGGTAAGAGTTTATTTGAGAAAGCTGACATAAGGTAACAGCTATGCAATTGTTGCATGTATAAACTGGCACAATTGGTTCAATCATTTTACTGTGCAAGGCATACGGAGAGCCCGATTCAGCTCCTTTGACTTCAAAGCACTCCTGGATGAAGATCCCAGTCAGTTGCTGCTGCTACAATAGGATTTTTGCAGTCTGTGTTTGAAGTCTGTATCTGCATAATCTACAGACATAGAAACAGTCCAGATGGTGCTTATATGGCTCTGATCTTTTGTGAGAGAAAAGACAAAGATACATTTGGCTTTCAGAACAGAAAGCCATCGTTGCTCATTGAAAAGATGCAGAAAATGTATAATAGCTGAGATCTGAATGCTTGATTCAAAATCTGCTGAAGTCACTGGAAGGTTTTCTGGCTGCTTTTGGATACAGAGATTATTTCAGTGTCCATTTGCTGACCTATTTATTACTTGTCATTGTAAGAAAAATACTTTTTAAGTCTTTGGGAAATGTACCTTTAATAATGAATCTAACAGCCATTCTTCTATTGCCCATCTTGATGTTAACTGGAATTTTGGTTATTGTCAGTATATTAGCACAAAAGAAGGACATGTTTTTTGACTGTTTTTAATTTTTTTAAATTAAAAAGGTTGCATGTATGTACTGTAGGCCCTGGATTTTGTCTCTATTTTTTCTAAGAACAAAAGAAAATAGCAATCCAGTAGTTTTTAAATTAATACTTACAAGGATTTTTTTAAATATTTTGGAAATGACATGTGGTGAAGATGTTATAATACAATGTTTCCATGTAGCAAGTACACTAAGTGCCATAAAATTATGTAAGTTTTAAATCAAAAATAAAGTTAGTACTATTTTTTACTAAAAATTTTAATGCAAATTACATTGTATTGGCTATGTTTTGATCCCTAAATATTTAGGTAGCTAAGTTATATAAAGTTAAAATAAATAACATGTTGTTCCACCATGGCTCCTTCTTCCCCTCCATGCCCCTCCAAACAGTTCCTGTGACTCCACAGGGATAAGTAAACCCAGTTTTGTGTGCAATATAAGTTCAGGTTTGTTTATTCAACTAAGTGATTGTGAGTACAAGTGACCTTAATACCTAACAATGATTACAGTGATGTAATTTACAGATTGAGTTTTAAGAGCATGTTACAAAGGCAGGACAATTTCACACCAGTTATTAATTCGAGGAATATCTCTTTGTGCTTGTCATTACTCATCATTATATTGTGACTTTAATCTGTTCCTCTTTAAAATCAGTGATTGGAATGATCAGCATGTCTTCATATAGATGTTTGCCATAAAAATATTATACTTCTTCACCTTTTTATAGAACTCAGATTTCTTAAAGGTCTTTTTCAACCTAAATGACACTATGATTCTGTGAATTTGTTGATCACTGAACCTACTCTTATTTCATTAAATTCCAGATTAAAAAAAAAAAAGCATAAGGAATATAAAGTTAGTCAGATTATGCTGACATATTCTGAATGGGTTGTGCTTTACCAGTCTTGGAGCCTTTTCCAGTTTCAGCTGACTTTCCTAAACTATCAGTTATCATCTTAATCCAAATTCCTTAAATTTGATTTGCTGAAGGGCTGCCTGGATTTTGAGAGACTTCAGTGTGTATGCAGTATGAGACAAAATTAAAAATGTAAACAGTAGCATGAGAATGATTTGAATTATAGAGATTAGAGATCCATACAAGGTGCCTAGGTGCTCAGATGCATACAAATATTTGGATAAAAGGTTCGATCGTTATCAGCAAAAGCTTAAACTTTCCTGACTGTTCTCCATTAGGATAAAGCTGAGCATATGCTGAGTTATACTGGTAAATATCTTCTAAGGAGTGTTAGGCTCAAATTTCATGTGCTTCTGATTTTTCATTGATGAAAGGCTAATGGACAGGAGCTTATTGTTGGAGATTAAGTGTGTGAAAGCTTTAGATTTTAAAGATGCAGCATTGAAAAAGGGGGAGAAAGGGCCTTGTCTTTCTTAAAAAAGGAAGTGTTGGTGGTCCTTAAAGATTATTTCCAAAAGAGAATTCCCATCATCCCTGAAGTGTATGAAGGAATCCTCAAGGTAGGCTAATGCAGCTGCAGAAGGAGTAGATGACAATGATATTGTTACTGCCTGGTGCTTAGGGCAAAAGATTGGATCTTATCTCTGCTTATGCAACCAAGGGAACTTGAGAAACAAGATATTTTGTAGAAGAGTCTTATGAAATAGTACATTACAACTACATATTGTAGAGTTAGCTGTTTAGTACATAATGCAGAACTTCATTTCTGGTAATTTGATAACATTTCTGTAGTTCAGGGTAAACACTGCTAATGTGTCTGTAAAGGGAGCATCAGCATTTGTTCCTGTCTTGGAAAACAGCATCCATTTTCTCCTAAAAATTTCCAGTGGTTTCAATTACTTTATTCCTATTGCCACAAAGTGCACAGGCAGATACATGTTTGGAAGATGATAGGATGAGAAAAGGCAGTAATTTTCCTTCATTGCTTTAGCTGTTGTCCTGGAAATGAAAGAAGGATGGAGTCAGTCTCAAATAAGATGAAAAGACCTTTGATGGTATAACTGTCATGTTGTTGTCATTGTCTCCCAAAAGAGAGCTGCTGCTGCTAAATTTCTGTCTTTCATAGCCTGGTGCTCAGACAAAAGGAGTAAAGGAATATCACATAGATGCTCCTTGTTCTGTGAAGTGTGTCTCTGAGGGTGAGAAGGGATAAAAAATCCTGTCCCTTAATCAAGAAAGACAAGGGCAGTGATGACCATGATGAGTTCCTGGTGAGAGTGTCACAATTTCAAAAATTTTTTGATATTGCTCATAGTTGGCTGGTTCTTTTTGGCAGAAATTTTCTTGTTTAGGTCAGATAAGTCTTATACAGTTAAGAAATGAACATGATAATTTTCCAGGGGATCTGGTTCTGGAAATTTAGATCTATATTTGTCCCAGGTATCTTTAAGAACTTAAGTAGTAAGTTAGGAGTCTGGCTGCCCCAGCATCCATAGTTAGTGATGGATGAATGGTGTTATAGTGATAACACCATATAGTGAATAGTGATGGACAACCAAGGTGTTCATTCCTCCACTGAAATTGCCAGATGATCTTTGCAGAGCTCATTATTAATTCACATGCAGAACCCTATTAATTCACATCTTCCTTGGAGTTAGTGGTCAGGCTGACTAAGTATCTGGAAAAATTGTGTTGCACATGGAGTCTTTTTAAGTGTGATCCACCAGTATTTCAATTACATGTTAACAATGAAGGGAAAGAAAACAGGAAATATAAAAGGTACTAAAGGAAGAAACTTATGGGGTGCTCTGATGAATATGTATTACTTTAGCATGAGAGGGCTCTGATGAAAGCTTCATTCATTAGTGTTTTGTATTCTAGTACTTGATGGAATTATAACACTCTGGAGACTGAGTTTTATGCAGACCTTCCAATAGTGTCTAGGGAATGCTGAAATTCTGGAGAGCAAATGAAGGTTGCTAGCTACAGCAATTTCAGAACAAGAGAAACTTTAATTGCACTTTTTATTTTGGCCCATGACTTTTAAAAGAGCATAAAATAAGGATTCAACTTAAATTTATTAAGTGTACAGTCAGAAATTCACCTGTTAAGATTGTTCAATTGTGTAGAACTAGACTATTTACTGAGCTGAGAGGTTATAGCTAAAATATTATTTGAGGGGTTTTTATACATTTGACATTTAAAGAACTGGCATTTATTTGCCCTTTTATCTCTTTCTCTCTCTCTCTCTTCTTTTTTTTTTCATGATTTATAAACAGTATGCTTTTGAAAAAAAAATAGCAATATCAAATTAATTTTTGAAAGTTTCTACATTCTGAGATCTCAGTTGCTAGCATAGAAAAGTGCAAAAAGTCCGCTGCAGTGACTATTAATGTGGTCCAGAGGGGATATTTTTTACAATGTATAGTTTTGCACTATTTTCCTTCTCTGTATATTTTCCTGAAGGACAATACCTGAAAGTCATTACTGTTACAATTCTGCAGAAATAGGCAGTTTCTAGGATGTATTCAGTTGTGCTATTCTGGCCACACAATTCAGTTGAAGGCTCTATGTCAAGACAGGAGGCAAGGAGAGAGGATTGCTGGCACTTTTCTTCTAACCTTACAGGGTCAAAACCCAGGTGTGAATAAAATTCATTATCCACAGGACATTGTGCTAATTACAGCTATTACAGCTATCCCACAGTGTAGCTAAACAGTGGGATTTCTCTCAGTAGTCCAGTGCTGTAGCTATTCTGCCTCTCAGCAGTCCTCCTTAGGTCCCTGGTGCAGATGGAGCCTTGCACAGTGGAGTATCACTGATTTATTATTCTGCAGATTCTGCTCAATAAAATCCTAAACTAGGTTTAAAGCTTCAGACACACTGAAGGTATAAAGCTAAAGATATTGTTTATATTCATAAACCAACCCTCCTTCTCTGCAATATGAGGAAAAGTTATATCCTTCAGAAAGCATAAAATGTAATAAATATATGATAATTAACATTATAAAGAACTGTAGCTACTTTACTGTTCATTTATAGCTATAATAGATCAAATTTTTATAACACTTTTCAATTTGAAAGATTAAAACATCTACCAAAAAATGAATGCATGGTGTAAAAATATGGCTGTTATTTAGGAGGAGCAGCTTTGGTTTTGAACTTTATTGTTGTATAAAATGTGCAACTGAAACTGTAGGAAATTTTTTTCTGATAGAGACAATATACCTACCTGAGCTTGATTTTAACCAGGACATGAATATTGGAAGATCCTATTGGTTCTTGACAAGAAATCCCGGGGTTCAGTTCTATGTCTTATGGGCAAGATAGTCCGATAAACAATTTTATCAATATAAAACTCAATTCAAATCAAAGGGAGGCATTGTAAGGAATGAGAGCAATCTTTCAGAATGTAAAGGATATTGCTGCTCTTGACCTTGAAAGACAGGCAAATCAAATA